TTTCGCAAATTACGGCTGTAAAAACTTGATTCCACATTTTACCGTCTTTGATTCATGTCAGTTATACTCATCAAATTTTTGTTTACAATTTAGCTCATTTCAACTTCGTAATTGACCAGTATTGAATGAAGTGGGTGAAAGCTGTGCGCAAAAAATAAAATTCTCAGTCCAAAACATTGAATTTCGTTGTAAATGTACAGGTCAAATTCCCCTAAACATTCGCAACTGAACCAAGACAATAACAGAAGTACAGCAATGTTATGATTGAGACCCTGTCTGAGGAAAATCTTCCATCAAATTCAGCTGGTTATTGTTAAATGCCCCGTGGTAAGGAATGTGACTAAACAATGAGGTGCATGGATGAAATATCGTATCGGATAGGCCACCTCTTAGAATTACAAACTGAGCAGTTGAACATTTCAATACGGTTGAAGCATATTGGCTAGTCGTCTCTCAGCTGTGGTTTTTGTCGCCTTTGACCTGGAAGGCAAAAACGGAATGTATTTTCGGCCTGTTGACTTAAATGAAGTTACTCTCTCATCATCTACATGTCGATTTGGACATCAGATAGTCATGTTGTTTTTCATCTTTTCTTTCCAGCAGTTAACTTCAAAATGAATGAACTTGTCAAGAAAAGTATTCAGAGAGCGTCTCTACTTTATGTATACACTTTCCTTGGAGGATGCATGTTTTATCTTATTGAAAGAAAACCTGAGAACAATAGAGAGGCTTCTAGGAGGCTCTCTCAGGAACTCCGACATGACTTCATAATGCAGTTTAATATTTCAATAAACGAAAGTGATTTTAAGCATTTTATGCAGAGAGCCTTTGAGGCCGTATCAGTTGGGAATAAAACAGACTGGAGCATTCTACATGGCCTTTTCTTTTCAATGACGTCATTAACAACAATTGGTAGGTGACTGGGTAGATATTAGCCGTTACCTACTACACGCCAAGTTAATGCAGTGATCACTTTCTGCTGAAAAGAAGCGCGATGATGACATTGAAAGATTTAGTCCATCACGTAATATATCACTTTAGCGTAGTTAGGACAACTATCTGTTTGCAAAAGTCTCGCGAAGAAGAACGTGAAGCTAAGTGATTAAATTTTATTCAAACATGGTAATAAGCTGATCAGAGATTGCAACATTTTGTTTAATAGGCACTGAATGAATGGGAGGAGATTAGGGTTGCAACAATGAACGATTGCTCACGTACTTTGTATTTGTTGTGTTCCTATTCAGGTTATGGTCACATAACACCAGAAACTCCACTCGGCCAGATTCTTACAGTGGTGTATTGCCTCACTGGTCTTCCCATAGCAATGCTGGCTTTGAAGACTCTTGGAGAAATAGTCTCAAAGTTGGTGTACAAGGTCGTTTTTATTGTGGAGACAAAGGTGCTTTGCAAGAAAACACCTCGAAAAGTTAAAATTAAAAGTTTTTTCATTACATTTACGCTGATGCTTTTGACCTTATGTGCTGGCGGTGTGACGCATATTTACATGGAAGGCGGAACCTTCATAGAGGGCGTGTACTCGTGGTTCGCAACACTTTCTACCATTGGATACGGCAACTACATCCCAAGCTGGAGTTTGATGCAAGAAACTGGAGAGTCCCACAAAACTCTTTGGCTTGTTATTTCTGCTCTTTCTCTTCCCAGTCTGGCCTTANTATTCAGGTTATGGTCACATAACACCAGAAACTCCACTCGGCCAGATTCTTACAGTGGTGTATTGCCTCATTGGTCTTCCCATAGCAATGCTGGCCTTGAAGACTCTTGGAGAAATAGTCTCAAAGTTGGTGTACAAGGTCGTTTTCATTGTGGAGACAAAGGTACTTTGCAAGAAAACACCTCGAAAAGTTAAAATTAAAAGTTTTTTCATAACATTTACGCTGATGCTTTTGACCTTATGTGCTGGCGGTGTGACGCATATTTACATGGAAGGCGGGACCTTCATAGAGGGGGTGTACTCGTGGTTCGCAACACTTTCTACCATTGGATACGGCGACTACATCCCAAGCTGGAGTTTGCTGCAAGAAACTGGAGAGTCCCACAAAACTCTTTGGCTTGTTATTTCTGCTCTTTCTCTTCCCAGTCTGGCCTTACTTTCCGTGGTATCCGGGGTACTTAACTCACTTGTTGAAGCCATGGAAGAATTCAAAATTCAGTTTAAGTCCTGTTACAAATGCCCTAGATGCCAAAAACGGAAATCTACAGAACTTAAAGAACCTAAAAAGGCAAAGTCTGTTGGCGGAGTTCCAACATGGGGCAAAAGCAAAGAAGATTTAACTGTCCATAAAGAGAGGTTACGATCGGCTACTGTTTGAGATAAGGCAAGAGAATATGATCTGAAGGGAAATGTTTGCAGTGATGTTTCTTTAACAAAAGGAAATTTTAAGTAAACAAGTAATCTTAAATAAATAGTGTAGAGTTTGTCAAAGATTCTAATTATCTTTATTACATGACTGAGAAACGCTAATTTTTAATTTGCACATTTGCAAAGTTTTAATTTCAGAATCAGTTATACAATAAATGAGTAATAGTATGAAGCCTTTATACTGCTCGTGATATTTAAACTGCACTCGCCAAACGACTTTAATTGAAATGGATTTTTCATATCAATCCTATTGTAAGTAATGAATTGCTCTCGCAATCATACCATTACCTATTGTCATAAGCAACGTATTTTCAAAAACAATAAAAAGGTCGAGACAAGATTTTCAACTCATAAATACCCTTTGGCTTCTGTTTCGAAGAGTCGAGAAAACATTTTGGTCGCCTTACATTGATAATGATTTCCTGTATGAGATGCGCCTGCAGGGAATCATGGTTGTTGTATATTCATCAAAACAAATATCTAGTCCAACAAAACAGCGTTCGAGTCATTGCTGTAGATGTCATTCCAGTGTAAGTTGCGAAACGAGGAGTTTTCAGAAGGCAAGCAATCGTCTACACTGTCCGCCATCTTGGCCTGGACTTTATTTTGATGAATACAACTGCTATGATTCCTGATTGGCGCATCTCCTCGAGGGAATTGGGGATGCATTACTGGGTAAGTCGAGAACGTTGATCTCGCAGAGACACTATTCGATTTAATTAACCATTTCCGAGTTGCCTGGTGCCTCTGTTTCAAAATGAGCCCTCGTGCAAAACCTTTCATGTGAAAATGAGTTTGATTTACGAAGACTCTTTTTGACAGAGAGGCCAAAGGCACTCGGAAATGTCCTGTTGAATGGCGACATGGAGACACCAACGTCGCGGGGAACTGATCTCAGCTTTTTAAATTCCCTGAATGCATCAGCGGGTTCCGGGCGACAATGCGCCTCATAATACAATCTCGTTGCATTCGCCTCCGTTACGAAATTTCCGAGATTTTTGGTCGAATGGAAAGCAGCCTTAGTTACGTGTCTCTCGAGGAAGCTAGTACTAAGCGATTAGCTTTAGTTGTCTACTGCCATTAGGTGTGAACTCATTAGCTCTTTACAACTGAAGAGTTGACGAACACAATCTCCTCAGTTTGTCAGGCCTGTCAAGGCTGTAGTTAAAAATTTAAGAACAATATGGTAAGCTTCATTTCCATATGTTTCATTTATCGCTTTTCCGACCAAATGTGGTTCATTCGTCATTTTTCCTTTAAACGGATACGTAAAACTAAATAGTGTTCCTCGGAGGGAAGTTCAAGTTTGTTATCAACTATTTTTTTGTCCTCCACGTTTGAAGCGGGAGGAAAATGTCGTGAAACAAACGCAAACTATATGACAACGTAAATAATGATTTGGTTAAATAATTTAACAACTATAGTGCGTGATGAATACACACATGCTTACTGTTTGTGAATATGGCCGAGTTATTATCTTTTCTTAGGATCACAGGATAAGTGGATGGCGTGAGGATAAGTGTCAATAGTTTATTTTGTGACGAACGCGAACATGTAAAAACTGTCTTCGTCTTCGACCGGTTCTAGGCGCTGAAGGAACGTTTTCTGGATTCTGTGAGTATTGATATTCAGTCAATATTGCAACGGTTTAATTATTTACGACGATGCATGGCTCTTTGAAAATGTTTCTTTCGTCTTACACGTATGATCAATTTGGAAAACGCATGTTAACGGTTTTAATAGCCCTGCAAACATTAGAAATACAACATGTTTGTTTAAAACGTCCGACGCCTCTCGCGATTTTCTCATCAAAAGGCTTGGATATTGAGATAAAGCTATGTTTTGCGTTATGTTCTGACATTCACCATATTCTAAAACATGACGCACTACTACCGACATTGTTTTTCTATCGATCTGGGTATTTCCATACTAAGCCATTTTTGATGAAAACCCACTTGTTTTCAACCTTAAATGTGAGCGGTCTCAGATATCTCCGTTCTGAAATTTTAACTTTTCATGTCGTTGGCAGGTCCTTACATCGCCGTCAGAATTAAAACACAAGTCATGTTGTTACTCAATATTTTATCGGCCTCCACGTCGCTTTTTCAACGCCGTGTTGCATGTCGGAATTCTGTTCGTCTAAATAAAGCGTTAGTTATTTAATATGCATGTGCTATTATTAAAAAACGGTAAAAACAATGCAGCATGTTTAAACGACGAACAAGTTTCGGCCAAGTTTTTAAATTACATTGCTCACATTCATCTCTCCATTTCCAAATCCAAATACACTTGCTCGTACACGGAATACGCCCAAAAGACACCAAGATAAATTGTTGATTTTCACTGTCATGCCATCAAAAATTCATAATCGTAACCAGTCAATAAATAAATTCAAAAACCTGCTAAATTTCACTCGATTGATATACAAACGACCTCGCCAAGATTAAGATGCGGTTTTGCATTCGCACTTCATTCAATTTTTTCGAGCTTCGTATGGAGGGGCACCAATATGACGGCCGCAACAGAAACATCTGTCAGTGAGTTTTGCTTTTAACACGCAATTTTGTTACTCTAAAGCTCGGACACATTGAAATTAATGCTTCTTCTTATGAAAGAACTGTCCAGTTAGCAAAAAAGTAAGCGACAACTCATCTATGTCGTCACTAGTCTATAAATAAAGCCAAGAACCTGCTAGTTGTTACACGTTTGATATACAAACGACCTCTCCAAGATTAAGATGCGGTTTTTGATTCGCACCATAATAATTCGGAAAAAAATGTTTCAATTTTTTCGAGCTTTGTATGGAGGGGCACGAATATGGCGGCCGTAACGCAAGAAAAACATCTGTCATAGAGTTTTGCTTTTACAACACACCTTTATTACCTAAAGCTCGGACACATCTTTTGTGAACCGTCCATTTTTGTCAAAAATCTAGTAGCAGGAACTGAGTTTCGTCCCTATGACTTGTCCCACGAATTCAAACTGGTTTAAATTTAAGGCACAACTCGCCGGAAACCTACAAGTGAACTGTTCGTGGGACAAGTCGGGGTGATACTCCCGGGACTTGTCCCCTCGTGCGTGCCGACCTTTAAAGTTATGCTTCTGTTAAAATCGCTGAAAGTAGGTAAGGACATCAAACGCGCTCTTACAGAACAGATTTTGTTGCTTCATTTCAATAGTATAGTAAATTGCCGACACAACTGGACTATACCGAATTTGTAATCCGGACATCTCCGAGAAACGCTGAATGTGAACACTAATATATACCATTTGTTGTTGGGGGCTATTGGAGCAACTCCGAGAGGATTATATATAGAATTTCGTGTGAAGGAGAGGAATGAGAATTTGTCTAAATGAAATTGGAAGAATGCCTTTTTGAAAAGCTTTCTTAATTGCTCTGGCTACAAGATGTGACATGCATCAGAATGGTGATATCAGTATTTTTATAATAATAGATTGATCAGACATTACTTGAGATGGACCCCAATGCATTCAAATACTCCTTTTGTCCTTTACCTCCAGGTAAACAATGAAGAAGCTTCTCATCAAAAGCTTTTTCAGGCTTATTTTCTCCTATGTCTACGCCTTTGTTGGAGGATGTATTTTGTATGTAATTGAAAGGAAACCTGAAACCAATGAAGAGATTTCTTCAAGACTTTCGATAAAACTTCATCGAGACTTTACCAATCAATTTAACATTTCAATAAACGAAAGCGATTTTAAATGTTTCATGCAGAAAGCCTTTGAGGTCGTAACGGTTGGAAACAAAATGGACTGGAGCATTCTTAGTGGTCTTAGTTTTACGATGACGTCATTGACAACCATTGGTAAGTGGTTAAAGTAAGTCATTTTGTACTTTCACTTTGTTTTTTCATTTCTTTTTAATAGCAATTCAACTACACATTACAACGTATACAGTTCCACTTTCCTTTCCCTGAACTTCATTTTTAACAATTCGTATCGCCAAATGGAAAAATATAAATATAAATACAAAAACATGAAAAAACCGACTAAAATTCTACTTTAAGTTAATCTCTTTCTTGGAATAATGCTTCTTGCTTTCATTGCATTTTTCTTTTTCTAAATTAATGCACGTTCCAATATCAAAAAAGAACTCACTTGAGGTGTAGAAAATGACTTCTATTTACTAAAAATAGAATATTGTAATTCAAAGCCCTCATTTCTTGGTATATTTTAGATGAAAGAATAAAAGCTTAGTGTTTATCCTTTTTGATGACTTAGCTAGCTGTATTTTTTTACGTCATTATTCAGGTTATGGCCACATTACACCAGAAACTCCACTTGGACAAATTGTCACAGTGCTGTATTGTATAATTGGTCTTCCTGTGGCGATGCTTGCATTAAAAACACTCGGAGAAGTAGTTTCTAAGATAGTTTACAAGTTCATCTACCTGGTGGAGACAAAGATACTTTGCAGGAAAAGACCTCGAAGGGTTAAAATAAAAACCTTTTTGACAACATTTACGCTAATGATTTTGACCTTGTGTGCTGGCGGACTGACGCAAGTGTACCTGGAGGGCTGGACTTTTATAGAAGGCTTTTACGCTTGGTTCGTCACACTCTCTACAATTGGCTATGGTGACTATCTGCCCGCTTTGGATTTACTTCGTAAGGCAAAGAAATCTACAGACTCGGAGATAAGCCTTTTGCTTATCATCTCCGCATCTGCGCTACCCTGCCTAGCGGGGCTCTGCATGGTCTCAGGGGTTCTTAATTCGCTCGTTGAAGTGGTTGAAGAGTCTAGAATCGTTAAAAACTACAAAATGATCATGAAGAAAACTGAAAAATTGAAAGAAGAACGAGATGAGCTCAAGTTTTCTAGTGGACATAAAAAAGAGAGTGATCATGATGACGAATTTGTTTTAACCATAATACCTAAAAGGCCACGATCAGCCTCAATTTAACTCGAGTCACAAATCAAGAAAAAATGCCGTGGCCCTGGGAGACCAAGTGGTATAACCCTAGTTTAACGATCAGCGAGTTTTCTAATGGTGTTATTATTATTATTATTATTATTATTATT